GTGGGTGCTAAGCTTGACTGGAAAAAATGGTGATATGTTGGCCCATGACGGAGAGACGTAAGTTAGTACTGGTTTTATCATGGAGAGGTATAGCAATCTTTTTAATTTTAACTCCATGTTGGAATGTCCGAGGAGAACTTGAAATTTAATACAAGAAGCTTTAGCTTATAACATTCTGAACATGGTTAGATAACATTCTGAACATGGTGTTTTCAGGTAATTTTTTTAGGATTAATACAAGATACTTTGCGCCTTATTGAAGATCGGGAGGGTCTCTCCAAAAAGTCTAGATAATTTGTGAAAAGATGTTGATGTCTTTTAATGCATGATCAGTAGATGGTGGTTATGGCCATTTACTTAGTTATTTACTTGGACCATTTACTATAAGTAATACATTTTAAATCAACAGATATGTTTGAGTTGAGTTTGTGTAAAAGATAGTGCTTACAAAAAAATGATGAATGTTTGGAGGTAAAACAGTAGTACATTTCTATAGGTTTGTAACATTTTTTTTTGAATATCTTATTATATATATATATATATATATATATATAGTTACTCAATTCGAACTTCTAACAAACACTCATGTGAGTTTTCCCTTTCTCCTCTTCAATATATTCTCAGCCCCTGAAAGGAGAGTTTACCCCTTAACCAATTTCTTAATAATTATTTTAAAAAAATAAATAAATATATTTCTAAAAAATGTGATTTTCGATTATTTTTATTTAAATTTCATGCAAATAAAGTTTGGGATGTGAGCTTTAAATTTTATGTTTGCTCTATATAGCAAAAATAGCCCCCTAGGAGTGTCTAATCTCCTAAAATTATAACTTTAAAGGATATTCTACTTATACATTTAATGGCCTTTTTTATTTTTTAAACAATCAAAATATAAAATATGGCTCTAAAAATGTCAAAGTTATTGAAAAGTATACGTGGTGCAAAAATAATAGCCTAGTAGAGTTAAAAAAAATAGAAACAAAATAGATAGTTTCAACTAGCATGTTTAGTGCAAGGAGTTGATCCCTTTTAATATAAAAAGTTTCCTCTATGGTGATTACACATTTAGATTTATTTTCTTAGAGGGAATGTCCGTAATTTTTCAGTTCAATAAAAGTGATGTAACTTCAAAATTTTATTATTTTTTAAAAAAAAAAAAAAACTTTGATAACTAAAGTTTTGACAAAAAAAAATAAAATTATGCTTTCTGAGTCACTAAATTAAAATTTTAAGGTATTATCGTTGCTAAACAATGGATCTATTTTATTAGTTAAATTCTGTACATTGGTTGCCAAGTTTATTCAGATTATAATCTTCTATTTTTACTATTTAGCTTTCTTATTGTTATATTGTTCCTTATTGTCATAGTATTCCTGATTTCCTGTACAATAAAAGTGCATGATAAAAAAGAAACAGAGACGGGAAGGGGTAGACTAAATATAACTCATTTTACCTAACCATTGGTTTCACATAGAATAAAAGTTAGGGCATTTATGATCGGCTTTACAAAAGCTTTTGAGCAGCTTTACAGAATGTCAATCCCATCTGTTATTAATTCCGTATTCTAGAAACATCTAAGAATTAAAGGGAGATTTCAGTCATATTTTTTTAAAATATTTCTGCATTTATCTGTGCGATGATTTAAGCTTGAATGCCATTGAAAGTTTCCTAGTGGAGGTTGACATATTGATATTTATAGAGTCATGTTCTAAATTTTTATTGCTTAAAAATAACGAAATAACTTTGAATAATAAACGAGAAATGCCGGAAAGTTTATTGGGTATATACCAATAATATTAAAATTGACCTTTTTCGATGTACCTTTTCTCAGCATTTAACCCCTTAACGATCGGTCAATTTTCAAGAAAAAGGTCATAAAAGTGCCTATTTTTTGGCTTTTGCATTTGTATTACGTATTTGATTAGTGCTGTAACTGGTTTAAAATAAACTAACTATCTACAATTACCATAAAAATATCCTGGTACTGCCATCTGGTGTGTAAAATGAGAAATAAAATGTTTTCCGGGCAAAAGAAATTAATTAGTTTTATTCTTATTGGCGCGTTACTACTGAACACTCCAGCCCGTCAATATCACGGGAGCGAGAAATAGCTGGCGAAACCTCACCCCGTCATTTTCACATTCACCAATTTATTGTACATATGTCATGCTATACCCTTTAAATAGCAAGTAAAAATTGTCAAATATTTCCAAAATTTACTTGTAGTTATTTACCGTTTATTTTTTAATTATTTTGGCGTGTCCGGAGCAGTTGGCATCCCTGCTTATCTTTGTCAGAAATTTTTTTAAAAAAATTATAAACTGAGAACTTTTAATTGCTTTAAAAAGTTTCATCGAAAATCTTTCATGACTCAAACAGTATTAGTGTTAACGCTGAAACATCATCACAGCATACAATTGCAGAGATGCCAACTTGCTCCGGACAGCAAATATATTTTAAGGTAGTAGTTTATCAATTGTTATTTTTGATTTAATAAATTCAATTTAGTAGATTTTTATCCACCACTATTTCTAAATAATTCGTAGGCTTACAAAGTTCACCACTTTATAGAACATATGCTGGATATTGGGGTTATCTCGGCGTTTGGCGCGAAGCGCCACTAACCGATTCATCGATTCTGTTTTGTTGTATTCTGGGAGGTCCTATATATCTTTGAAGTTGTAGTATGTTGTAACAACAAGTCAAGTCCTTAAGGAGTAAATCTTTAGTTTTGAAGGGAAAATNTTTTAAATTTTTTTTTATTTTATGTTAATCAGGATACCGTCTGAAAAGAAGATTTCTGAAACTACGGAAATTCCGTAGCAGTTGGAGGGTATGCTTTTAAAAAGCAAGCAGAAATAGTCGAATATTTCGAAAATTTACTTTGTAGTTATTTACCGTTCTTTTAATTATTTTAGCGTGACCGGAGCAGTTGGCATCTCTGCAATTGATATAATCTCAAATATCCCTATACAGTTTCAAAGTGATATGATGAGTGGAAAAGGTACATCAAAAAATGTCAGTTTTAGCATTATTGTCAGGAATGTCAGTTTTAGCAAATTTTGGTTTTAAGGGACGGGCATATGGGAGGGGTAGGCCATTTTCGTTATTCAATACAATGGATGAGCCTAGTAGAAAAACCAGGTGACATTTTCAAAGAGGCTATAAGCAAAGTAAAAAGAAGAAAGAAATTATACCCGAAATATTTTATCTGCGATTTATTTGAAGGTGATATATAGATTAAGATTTATTAGAAAAATTATATTATTTTATTTACCACTTCCGGATTTGAAATAAAAATCACGTATGTATACTAAAAACTAATGAGGATTAGTTTAAAGTGAAGAGAAAATCAATTTTGTTATATTAAACATATTCATATTGATTCAACCGCTTTATGTAATTTTTCTTAAAGTTAAATACTCCTAAAATTTTCACGTACCTTGTTCTATAAAATTGGCAAACAGAACTCTAATTCCAAATTTAATTTACAATAAAATGAAAAGAGAGAGCAAAACTTCGTGGTTTTAGAAAAGTTTCTCAAAAATTTATCATGCCTGCCAACTCTTCCGGATTTTCCCGAAGATTTTATTTTCATATTTAAAGTGGTAGTAATTATATACTATTTTTTCTTTTATAATCTTAAATTTTTAAATGATATTGATCACCACTATTCTTACAAAAATTAGGCACATATATTAATATGCGTTACTGTCATGGTTGTCAACTTAAGTTTTCTCAAATACAACGTATTTGTTTGCTTAAAATTGAAGTTTTAATTCCATTTTAATACCACTGGGAAAAATGATAATGGAANAATTCCAGGATCAAGTATTTGGAAAAAGGACTTTTCAACGGAAAAAACTCTCATTTGCGTTACACGGAGAAGTAAACCACGAAAATTTGCATGGTTAGCCCGACGCCAAGGAGATTTTAACCCATGATTAGTCTACCACTAGGATATTTTACGTCAAACACTGCGAAGAGAGCGAACTGGTAGCAGAATTCGTATCAACCGGCCACCGTTGGCATTGAAAACTGTTTCACTTCATTGGGAGTCGAACACTCTATTCCCTGAGCCACAGTGACTCTGCGTCTTAAGTATGTAAAAATCCGATCATTAGATCTAAAGTTAGTCAAGCTGTTGCGCTTTTTTTCCCGCACTGTGCGAGGCTGTTTCCTATGATGGAAAATAGTAGTAGGTCTAGTAATAGTCCAGTCAATAAGTCTTAGCAATCATGGATATTTGCTCCCTGCGAAAACGAACTGTAAAGAAAATGAAATGACGTGATTAAATTATTCTTAAATGTTGTAATAATGTCCTTTTTTTCTCATGGTACACCTCTGTAAAAGGATTTTTTATCTAAAGAATTTTAATAAAAATTCCACTATCTGTCTTATGACTCTTTCCAACAACTCTGAAGTCAGGTTTTGATCATGCTTAAGCATTTGGAATATTCTTATAACTATGCATTTACTCATATTAAAAGTTGAAACTAAAGTGTTAGTCTCATTAGAGATTATCAACTTAGCTTAATCATCCACCAACTGAATTCCTAAAATTCTTCGTGAAATTATAGTCGATATAATTTACTATAGCCCCATAAAATTGCTGCCCCCATTTTCTAAACTTTTCTAGAATGTGAACATCTTAGCTTGGTGTACGTCGTAGGCTAAATGAAAATTCCAGCACTAGGCAAATGCTTTTGTATTTGCCTAGTCGATATTAACTTTTTTCAGGGTTATTACAATCACTCCATATACTTTTAGGCTTATATGATATGTGTGAAAAATTACTCAATTACTATTGTGTGTGTGGCTTATTCCTCAAGGTCTAGCTGCAAGCTAGACCATGTCCAGGAGGTCATGAATGCTCGAAAAGTCATATACTGTAATAGGTGGCATGTAGAGGTGTATATATATATATATATATATACTATAATAATATGTATATATATATATATAATATATATATAATAAGTTGTAAATTTGTGTTTCAGGTGACGCACTTCTGGCTGGATGATATGTACCTCAAGAACCCAATCCCACTTCCGGTCAACTCCAACCCCTTCTTTCTCTTCCCCAAGCAGAACTTCCACTCATCTTCCGACCAATTCAGGTAAACTATTTACAGCATTAAAATATTTAAAAAAATTCTTAAATAAGGTTATAAAAACTATATATATTTTTTATTTTTTAAGAATATCGGTTTAAAAGAAATTGATTGAGAGGCAACTACGGAGATTGATGAGCGGAGCCTCCTAGTCTTGCTAAATTGGATATATCATAAATTTTTTTTTAATAATTTGTATACCATTTATATTTTGAATAGTTACGGTAGTCGCAAGTTTTGGCTATCGAAATGCGCAACGTGTGGCGAAGAGTAGAACTCTCTATCCTATATGGCAACACTTAGCTTGTTTTGAATAATAGCGTGTGAAGAGTCATAGGAGAAGGAAGTACTTTAGTTTCCCTCTTGATTTTCAAATAGATTAAAAACTTTTAAATTAAGAAACTATGTGGAACTGTAAACTGCAATAGACGTAGCTCTAAAAATATGAAAAATATTAAGAAAGGGGAAAGCATCGTAGAACATTTCTATGCAACTGAGAATGGGAGGAGATGAAAGGGGGGAGGTTTAAGACATGGAACTGGTCTTCTCCCCAGAACGTTGCGATTACGAACACCGGTTTTCTCAGACAAATCATGAAACTTGGGAATCAATCATGAATCAAGAAGAAGGCATGTCATCTTTTTATTCTTTAAATTTCGTCTAGTTGTAGTAAGGTATATGTTTCAGTGTATGATTTTTATTTTAGAAAATTTGAAAGTGCATTTCCATGCAACTACATGTAAAATATACAAGAAATCAATGAAAACGCCACTTTTGATCCCGTTCTTGTATAGTTTTCCAGTGGCTTTTGAAATATTGGCAAAATTCCAAAACCTTCAATTTTTGATAGTTCGCCACTCTAAGAAATATTTAGTAAAAAGCGGTGAAGTTTAAAGCCTTGTCATTTATAATTTAAGAAAAAGACTTTTGCTAAATCTAACATAGAAATCTGATCTTAAGTGGTAAGCCATTCATAAATAAAACTTTTTTAATCTAGAACTTAAGAAAAAGGTTAAGATAAATATTCAGCGACAGCAAGGCCAGAACCTTGATTGTGTTGGTTTTCATATCAATAATTTATGTCTCTCAACTGAATGTTACCACTTAATTACGTAATTAAATCTTAAGTTTTGAAGTGTCACTATAATCTTTCCTCCAGGAATCAAAGTGAAGAAAGTGTTAGACTAAGAAGCCGTAGGGGTTTCATAAGATGTGGCCAGTACCGAACGTTTTTAACTTTATATATGAAGAATTAAGATTCAATTGTGTTTCAGCACATCGCATTTCAACCAGAGAATGTGACTTTGTATGTTTAGTGGGGCTAGCGTGAGATGGGGAGTCAGCTGGAAAAAGTTTACATCAACATGAAGAATTTACTTTAAAGCTTTAATAACAAAATTAATTGTATATTTACAGACAATTTAAATGTAAAAATTACATAAAAAAATAACAATTTTATAGCAATGATAATATAAATTACTTTAATATAAATTATTTCAATACAAACAATGTGTGATAAGTATATATTTTTAGCTTTCTTTTTAAAAAATGAACAAAAGTTGACTATTTAATGTCACATGTTAAAATATTCTTCAGAGAAAAAAACTTATTTATTTCAATATCGATACACTTAACAATACAGTTCAACGTTAAAAACAGTAAAAGGTGAAATTATATGAGGATATGCATTTAAAAAATAATCTATTTTATTGAAATGCATAAGTATGGTTGACGACGCAAGAAATTCCGAATACAATTACTAATATAAAGAAAACTCAGTTTCAAGACTTTGTTGTAATTAACTATACCTCTATATATGGTATCAATTTTAATTTAGATTGCATTGTAAGTAAACAGATAATATGCATCTACTAAATCGACATTTTCCATAATTTGTTTCAAAAATGAAACCATCTCACTATTATGCCGAAATAGCCTTTATAATCTAAATAAAAAGCAAATTAATTTACGAATCAGTAAAGTTAATAAAAGCCATTCAACTATAAAAATTGTAAAATATGAATTTATATAACTATTTAGAAATGTTTAAGGGTAAAGTAATTACTTTATTCAACTAAAATAGTACCGTTAACGGTGCATGAAATTCCCGAAAACAATTACTAATGCAAAGAACAATTTATTTCATAGCAAAAGAACTGTGACCTTAACTGTTGCTTACCCAGTTTTCCGTCGCCAGTCATGCCTAACCCACATCATTGTAAAAAAACGAAAAATCGTCAACATTTGATTTCAACTCATTCGTGGTTGCCATTCGGACTTAATTAAAGGTGCAGGTCGACGTCTAGAATAGGAATCACGTTCAATTTTAATTAGACTACAAAGCGAGAAAGTTTTAGAGATATCAAGAATGAACTATTGATTTACTAATAATTGGTTGTTTTAAGGCTTCGCTTTTAAAACTCGAAATCAGTTCAAGCTATTATGCGATGATTAAAATTGGCGTAAACGTTGGTTTATCTAGGATTTCCAGTTAAGGATCTTTAGAGTAAAATTTATTTAAAGATCTATAAGAATTCGATGATTAAAAATGTTAAATGAGAACATTATTTTATATTTAGATTTCAAAAAAACATTTGCTTAAATACGAAATTTATTGCTGATTTATTATAGATTTCTAATCCCTCAAGCAAAATTCTATTTTTTCTCTGCATTACACTAATATTTCTAAGAAGAAAAATTACTTTTTGTTGAGGAAGTCAGTGAAAAGGCATTTGTTTTATTATTAGTCTTTATTAATGACTTATTTTGCTTTAATGAGATAAGTTAAAGTTCAGTCACTTTAATGAGTTAGCTTAATTGCTTTATTAGTATTCTTCATAAATATTTTACATTAGAGATTAAAACAGAAAACTAATGAATTACAAAAACTATTTCGCTAAATTAATTTTTGAAATAATATTTATAATGTATTGTTATTTTATTTCTAATAATCCTTCATTTATATGGAAGTTTTCAGCTTTAATTATTTATTTAGAATGCTCTGTTCTAGAATCAATAGAGGATGTACATAATTTAGAAATATAGATTATAATACACGTGGAATATACATTAATTTCAGACATTTATCAAGTACTGAAAAATTAGTGAAACATTCTGATAATTATGCTGTTATTATATTTTTGAACTGGCACTTTTCGCTTACTTAATAGCTATGGCTATCTTTAATCGCTATCGCTAATTGCTAATATTAATCACTATCTTTAAACATTATAATGGAAATCGTTAAACGAAAAAAAATAAAACGAAAAACAACTTGATTAAAATAATGTAAAAATAACGTTAAATAGAAATTAACTTGGTTAAATTTACGTGAAAAATTGCATGAGAAATTCCCTAAACGAAAAATAAGCTTTAAAAAAACATTAATATTCATGGTAATAAAACGTAAATTGTAACATGGAAAAAGTACGTTTGTATCTTAGTTAAAATAACGTAAAAAATAGGTTATAAAAGAAAACAACTTGGTCAAATTTCCATCAAAAATTGGTTACGAAATTCACTTTCAATATAAGAGCTAAAAATGGTCATTTTTAGGTTAAAAATAACCCTAATTTTAACGCTTATTTAACGGATTTGAGACTACCACTTGAGACCAATGTAAAATGTTTGGTCGTAACGTTAAAATGCTCCTTTCCTTGTGACATTTTAACGTTATTTCACGTACTAAATACTTATCTCTGCTGCATGAATAGTGTCTAAAACGTCCAGAGTGTCAGCTCTATAAGCTTCTGCACAGTTACCAACTTCAATGTTAGATGAGAAAAATGTTTCTTATTATTAACAGTATTTCTGGTTTAATGTAAAAAATAATAATAAATAAATTTTCCAAAAAGGAGAAAAAAACTTTTTATACCGATCTTGACAAAACACTAATTGGGTACTTGTAACTCAAGAAGAAGAAGGTCACTGATGCACAGACACCTAAACTATTACCTCTGTGCCAGTTGGTTGTTTATAAACAAGATGACGTGTAAATATTTTGCATATTGCTGGCTCATGTCGAGCTAAGTTTCCCCACTTAAGATTGTTAATTAACGTGAAATAACTTAAATACAACGAGTATCGCAATTCAAATTAGTTAAAATATAATTCTTTCTTTTCTACGTCTTTCATTTAACTTTAATTTATTATTTTTTAGGTATTTTATTGTAACCGTGATCAATTTTGATTTATGCATCTGGCAACTTTGTTGTATAATTAGTTTGTCTATGCTCTACATGGCTTCGTGCCTGTCGTAGTGTCAAGTAAGAATAAACCGAATCTTTCTTCAGTTAGACGTTTACATATCGGTGAAAAAATTTTGCATCGCCTCATTTATTATTTTACAACCATTACTCAAAATTTTTTCTAAGGAATCTCTCCAAACAACAATACAAGTTGTTAGCTATGCATCTGGGGATAAGGAACAAAAATTAAAATTTGATGAACTAAACCACTTCATTTGCTTTATAAGTTATAATAAGCAGAAAAACTCGACATGTTTCGAATGCTCGAAAATAGGCACCTATTTTCACGTCTCACCAGACGTGAATGTAAGAAACAAAACAGATTTGAAAAAGAAAACTCTAAGATTCCATCAATAATATAAAATAAAGAACAGAAAAAAACTAGAAAAACTTTTTTAGCCGTGAAGCAATTTGGGGCATGATGTATTTTTAAGTATTCTTGGAAATAGGCTTGAACATGTTGACTTTTTCCACCTTTATAATTTGTAAGACAAATGAAACGCTTACATGATCAAAAACATATTTCTGTTAAGGTTTTTGGGATTATTCATTTCCTACTTAAACTACTTAACATGAAAAAACTGATCACTGATCTTGCATCAATCTTGTATAAGTGATCTATCTTTTAGTGTCAGAATTTATTTGTTCTGTGATGTATAAGAGAGAACGTCATTACGAGAACTGTAAGCTTTGGTGAATCATTATGCCACTTTACCCTCACTGTTTTGAGTATAATAAATGAGCAGACCACGGAATATT